ACTCCCCCCCTCTCTCTCTCCTCTCTCCCCCCTCCCCCCTTTCTCTCAATCATGTCCTTCATATATCCAAATAAATGATTCCGTCAGATTTCTTATCGAACTCACTGTGCAAGAGGTATTTTGTTTTGGTCTTCTTTCTTCTTAGGTTTGGAACTTCGTAGACTTGGACCTTCGAAGGCTTGGAACTTCGTAGGCTTGGAACTTCTTAGGCTTGGAATTATTACCACGCAATATGAATTGCACGTACACCACACACGTTACATACACAATGATGATATGGATGTCGCGACCCCTACCGTGTTTTTACGCGGTAATCGAGATTCGAGATTGTTTTCAGACGACGTCGGCTCTTCGCACATGCGCAGCGCAGAGCTGCGGAGATTGGCTGTATGACAGATGTGTTCCAAAATTTGCTACCAGTACTGAAAATATATAGAGCATGTGACGTAAACTATAGATTTTCAGTACCATAATTTTGAAACCCGGCCAACGTATATTGGCTTTTGTACATTGGACATGGAAACGCTTTTGCTGCATGGCTACGACGCAGTAACCAATAAACATGTTAATAGTAAACTTATTATGGCTATCGCGTTATATTTTGCCGCACGGTAAAGCGAGAAACACAGACTTTTGCATAACGCATAACACATAAGACATAAGAAATTCAATTAATCAGAGTTCTTTATTTTATGGAAAGGAAGGAAACGAAAGACTTTGATTAGTTTATTTTCTTATGCGTTACGTGTTATGCGTTATGTGTTATGCTACAGTCTGTGCTCGCCGCTTTAGAATTTCCGCATCCAGTGTGCAGGAACCATTACAAGATAAAGACTTCGGGCGCAAAAATTTGCTGCATAGTCAACTGAACAATATAGTTAATTAATAAAAGTTTTTTTTTGAAAGTGTACACTAAAAAAAATATAGTAAAAAGAAATGCTAACTGTGGCCAACCTGTATCTCCCACAGCTCTGTCGAGCGTGAGCAGAATACTGACATCATACGGGCTGTGTTCAAAATACTAACTGTGGCCAACCCGTATCTCCCACAGCTCTGTCGAGCGTGGGCAGAATACTGGCATCATAGGGGCTGTGTTCAAAATGCTAACTGTGGCCAACCCATATCTCCCACAGCTCTGTCGAGCGTGGGCAGAATACTGGCATCATACGGGCTGTGTTCAAAATGCTAACTGTGGCTGTATCGTTCACGATGGCGGTGCGTGTCTCGTGGAACGTGGTTCCAAGCATTTCCCGTGGATAGAGTGCTTGAGGGAGCTTGGGCGAAGAAAGCTGCTTGTTTCTTCGTCTTTACACTTTACTTGATATTCTCACGTGCGGGCGGACGCGAATACAATGCACAAAATCGAGCACGAATGACTGAATCACGACGGTAATCGGAGATCCGCGTGCCGCGTGCGATCGACAGGACGAATAATAGGCCATTGATAGCAGGATCGCGACTCGATGACGAGAAATGTGCGCAGCGGCGCAGATTGATCGCGCACTTGATTTCGGGTAGCGTCGATCAATCTCGGTGATGCGACTACGAGCGGGAAAAACGATATGGGTACCGAACAGTGGCCAACCCGTATCTCCCACAGCCCTGTCGAGCGTGGGCAAAGCTGTGGGAGATACGGGTTGGCCACAGTTAGCATTTTTAACACAGCTCGTATGATGCCAGTATTCTACCCACGCTCGACAGAGCTATGGGAGATACGGGTTGGCCACAGTTAGCATTTTGAACACAGCCCGTATGATGCCAGTATTCTACCCACCCTCGACGGAGCTGTGGGAGATACGGGTTGGCCACAGTTAGCATTTTTAACACAGCCCGTATGATGCCAGTATTCTACCCATGCTCGACAGAGCTGTGGGAGATACGGGTTAGCCACAGTTAGCATTTTGAATACAGCCCGTATGATGTCAGTATTCTGCCAACGCTCGACAGAGTCGTGGGACATACGGGTTTGCCATCATAAAATTAATTTGTATTAGGTCAAAATTACGCCAGTATTATACCTGTACGAGTCGACCAACTGTGGGTAAACCATTATAGGGGCAGTACTGCGCCTGTTGTAAGTAATGGCTTAAGTCGGAAATTTCCAATTGGGTGGTGATTTCGCGTTTGTATTATCTTCATCTTCGTTTTCGCTGCTTTGCGAGTCAGAATTTTTTATGGCTTTTCTTACTGGCTTCTTATATTCGCGTTTACCGTTTTCTTGCTGATTTTTATTTTGGTAATTATCGCGACGCGGATGATTTTTTCTCGATGGCTTGCCATTCTTACGGAACGTCGTGGTTTTAGAAATTCTCTCCTGTTTTTGGGTCAATGCATTTAAGCAATTTACCCTGGGATTGGAGATCAGGATGTGCGATTAGGAATGTTCAGGAGGAAGGGTAGGATAGTTTTTAGGAAGGGTGACTTTGAACCCGGTCCCAAAGAGTTCGCGAAGTTTGTAGGCGAGCCTGCGTGGATCGCCTTTTTGGATGGTTTTATAATTGGGAAAGGTGAGGTTAATTTCTAATAGGTTGAGGATATATTCGCGTTCGGGAGATGGATCTAATGGCTTATTTAGTAGACGCGCTAGTTTCTCGAAATAAGGAAAAGGATCGTGATTTTCATTAAAGGCTGTTTTGATCTGGAACCTTAATCTCTTCTCTTTTTCTCTTCGTCCACCTTTCGAAGGCATGGAAGCAACGCGAAAGAAATTGTCTAATTTCGAGGAAAATGTCTAAGACTGGGGCCACGCCATTCACAGCGACAGTCACAACACAGTCCTCTATGTATAATTTGTGAATGCTCCGAAAAAATGCTTAGGACGAGGGCCACACTATTGGCAGCGACAGTCTTAGCAACCCCTTGGATATTCTGTACTACTAGACGAGACGCAGAGTTGAGATTTCGGTTTCGGCTGAATAACTTTTATATTCCGTTTATTAAGTAAAAAAAAGGAAAAAATAAATGACAAAAAGGAAAAGATAACCTACGTCAAGGTGTGAAGCGTGAGAATAGTTCCAACTAACTAGTGGTGAAGTTTCGTCTGACGACTGACTGACTGACAATTTTCCTGCTTTTCGCGGTTCTTTTATACTAAAAAATAAACGTGGGAGTGTCCTTTCAGGACCAATCAAGATTTTTTAGAATTTGGTGGAACCTATGCTCGCGCTTGTTTTCTTACGATAAGAGAGCAGCGCTCCGCGTAAGCCCTACTCCCGACACTACGAGTCTAGTCTTATCTTAGTAGACGAGAGTTTTAATAATTTATAAAAGTTCGATTTTCCTTAACTAATGTCCTTATGCGAGGCGAAATGTAACGACATGTTCTAAATTATATTAATGTTATATATTTTAAATTGGGTTAAAATATTTTATAACTTTATATATTATGACCCTTGGATTTTAGTTTCATTAAGAATAAGAGACAAAAGAAAGAAAAGGAAAAATAAAAGATATTCATCCTCGCATTCGGAAAGGTCTTAATTTTTACCATATATTATTACTTAATTATTAGGCATATATGCTATTGTTTAACATTTTCTAGAAAAAGGGAAGAAAGATTATAAAATCTCGAAGGAAAGAAAGATTATAAAATAGATATTCTTTATCTACGTGACGCATAAGGGTATGCGAGCGTGAGCCATCTGTTGTTTGAATGTTTATAAACTAAGATAGGCCCTTCTATAAAAGGGACGGTTACGAAATATAGATATAATGGAGACAAAATATCTGACTAAGACGAAATACCAAACTAGAAATAGGATAAAGAAAATGTATCAATCATATATTTATAATAATGAAGAAAGAGGGGTTTTTAGCGGGATGTAACACCATGTACCATCCAACATTCATCACGTATATGCCCTGGTTTTTTACAATAATTGCAATATTTTTCGACGGTGTTTACACGCGGTCGGCCTTCCGGCTGAGGTAAGGTGAATCGTGTCGCGTATCTGCTACTACGACACTCGCGTCCATGATGTCCAAGTTTTCCGCATTTGTCGAATTTTTTCATGTTGACTTGGCCCGTCTTTATTTCGGTCGCTAAATGGCGTTCGTGAGGAAGGTCCTTTGACTCTTTCTTCCGCGCTCGCGGCGTTAATTGCCTCCTACAGATTCGTATATCTTTGCGATCGGATTATCATTTTAATATCTTCGCACAGTCCTAGTTCAAAATTTAGTAAAGCTTGGTGTTTCATGTGAGATGGCCGTGCCTCGCGTTGTAATGTTGCGAAGGCTGGCCCCAAGCGTTTTCCCGGTGTGAATCCTCTCAGGAAGCGTGGTCGAAGAATATGTATTCCTCTGCAGTTGAGGAGGCTGTTGCCAACAACGAATTTGCGGCCACTGACTATCGGTGGAGCCGCGGAAGGATCTCCCAAAATGATGCAAAGGCACTTAGAAAGTAAATACTTGACTTTATCAACTGCACGAGGCCGCACGATGATACAGGGATCGATAGCTCTTTAGAGAGCGTAACGGTAACAATTAAATGATCGCCATCGACGGTTACAATGGTAATAATAAGAAGGATCCAGAAGGATCGCAATCGAAACGGTAACGAACGGATCGCGCAGGACTCGCACGGAGAGAGGGAACGAACCGCGGGCGAAGATAACCGAAGAGTCACAAGCGCGTCGCGAACGATAAGAAAGTGTCAGAGCAGTGTCCAGTCATGCTATTGGTCTAAAGATAACGCGAGCGTTAAATGTGACACGCGCCAACTTACGAAATATCGAACAAAAGCCGCCCCCGTTGAAAGGACTTACTTTCAAAACAAAATAGAAATAGAAACGACGGCTACATGACGGTTGTAGACGGCGATAATACTTATGCTAAGTCTTATGACACATACATTTGACTGTTTATATGCAAAACATATTGACGGTAACTAATATGATTTCGCGTGAACAAAGAGACGATTCGACGCGAACAAATTGATATGGCGGAATGAGAGAAAAATATAATCGTAAAATTAACTTATTTTTAACACACGAAATGAAACGCTAGGTTTCTATTGGTAAGATAGCAAGCTTGGTTAATGGTCTAGTGAAAAGACCCTTTGTGGTACGGACGGTAGCGGTCCGCACGTTGCCATCAGTTCCTGGATGAACTTCTTCAACGCGACCCAACAACCACTGGAGAGGTGCTAGATTCGGCTGTTTCAGGAGCACCATTTGGTTGGGTGTCAGCTGATCACCCTTGTTTGTCCTCCACTTGGATCGCTCCTGGAGGGTATGCAGATATTCTTGGCTCCACCTGCGCAAAAAATGTTGTCTGACTTGTTCGACACGCTGCCAACGTATTACATTAGTTAAATCCGGATGAGGGAAACTATTCAGCGCGGTGCCAATTAAGAAATGTCCTGGGGTCAAATAACTAAGATCGTTAGGATCTTCGGTTAACGGAGTGAGAGGGCGTGAATTTAGAATGGCCTCTACTTCGCAAAAAATTGTTTGTAATTCTTCGAAAGACAAGGATGTCTTCCCGACTATTCGGATAAGATGACGCTTAGCGGCTTTGACTGCAGCCTCCCACAAACCGCCAAAATGAGGCGCGTTAGGAGGAATGAATTTCCATGCAGTTTCGTGTTCTCGTAAGGAATTAGCTATTTGTGTTTGTGTTTGTCGTCGCGTAAAATATTAAAGAACTCTTTGAGCTGACCATGAGCACCCACGAACGTCGTTCCATTGTCGGAATAAATGCAAGACGGCTTTCCTCTGCGAGACACGAATCGCTTTAGTGCGGCTATAAATGTCTCAGCCGTGAGGTCACTAACCAGTTCGAGATGCACGCACTTAGTGGCGAAGCATACGAAGACCGCCAAATAAGCCTTACGCGTGCGAGCATTGCGTGCTTTAGATTCTCGCAAGATGAATGGGCCTGCGTAATCGACGCCGCAGTGCGTAAACGATCGCGAAGCATTAACTCGTTCGGTTGGCAACGATGCCATGATTGTTTCAGATTGCACGGGCTTGCTTCTAAAACATGTTATACAATTTCTGATCACCTTTCGAGTGGCGGATCTTAGAGAAATTGGCCAGAAACGCTGCCTTACTGCTGCCATTGTAGCTTGCGCGCCGGCGTGAGCGTTGCGCTCGTGCTCTTGCTCTATTATACGCTGAGTTAAAATGTCATCGCGTGGCAATAAAATTGGATGACGCGCGTCAGAGCTGAGCTCCGAATTTACTAGTCTGCCACCCACTCGTATTAAACCATCGCTACAAATGAATGGGGATAAAGCTAGTACGTTACTTGTTGTATGAAGGGTGCGACCTTCCTGAAGGTTCTTGTATTCTGCGGAAAAGACTTGACGCTGTATGGGTTTGCACATAATTTGTAGTGCGGTTAGTATGCCCTGGGGGGGCACGAAAATTGTAGGTTCGCTCGGACGATGCGATTTGAAGAATCTTAAACAATATGTGAGTATGCGGCACGCTTTACTGAGCTTTGAATGATCGCGCAGTAACTGGTGCACAATTAAAGAATCGGACATGGCGACGGCCGTGATGCACTTCCTTTGTTCGGGAATGTTCTCCAGGGAACGCGTAACACCGGAATGGGGCCAAAAGCTAGAGTTATGCTGTAGGTAGCTAGGCCCATGCCACCACATACGAGAGCTTATTAGTTCCTGTGGGTCGAGACCGCGTGACAGGAGATCCGCTGGATTGTCGGTCGATTTTACATGATGCCAATCGTCGGGATTGGTATAGTTTTGAATTTCTCCCACCCTATGAGCGACGAAAACTGCCCATCTTCGCGACGGGGAGGATATCCAGTTGAGAACAATCGTAGAATCCGACCAACAATATGTTCGGATGCCGGTTAAATCGAATGCCGACCGAATTTTCTGAATTAACCTGGTTAATAGTAGCGCCGCCGAAAGCTCAAGGTGCGGAAGTGATAGCGCTTTGAGGGGGGCTACGCGAGATTTTGAGCATAGTAGCTCGATTTGATACGT